TGTCCCTTCAGGCTCATTTCTTTTAAGCAGATGAGGCTGCTTGAAAGAGGGACTTGAGCATAAACCCATTCAGTGAATGCTTCTCTAGCCATCTTCCTGGTCTGTGTTGATTAACAGTGTCCCAGCTGGTAAGAAGAAGTCAGTGCTCAGCTGTCATGGATATAAGAAGCAAACAGCTTGAGTTGCCTTCTGATGCCAACCAGGTCTTTTCTCTTCAGGACCCCATGGGTTTGCATTAAGCCAGAACACTGCATTTCAAGTCTTTGGGGCTAATATTCCATGAATAACCATAACTTCTCTAGGCTGGGACATTTTCTGTCATTATCACAAATGAGGAAACTTTTCTGTCAGGTGCTTGCAAAGTGTTGGAGTGCCAGCCTGGCTTTTACACTTCCGTAGAAGGAAGTCCTGAGAGCATTGCTTTCTAATCTTGCAGCAGAGGTTTTCAAAGGGGAGGCTGTACTGTGGGAAGCAGTGGAAGATTAAAATGGATCCAGCCAGTTTGCACTTGTTTGACTGCAGAAGCAGCCATCAAAGGCCAGGCACTTGGAGAAAGTTCTCCCTATCCTGTGGGAGGAGCACATACATTTGGGAAGGTCCTTGAGTGCAGCAGCCACCACAGGTACAGGTGGGAAGAATCTCCCTGTGCCACAGGAGTCCCTCAGGGTGGTGCAGGGAGTTCAGTGCTCCCAGCATGGTTCTAAGCAGCAGATGGTGGTGCTATGTGACAAGGCTCTTGTGGCACTGAGGTACAGGGACTGTGTCCCTGCAGTGACCGTGGGGAAATGGGACAGGACACGTTACGGCTGGGGAGTCTGCACTGAACAGGTGCAAGGAGTCCATCCCAAATCCTTTGCTACTCATCTCATAATGAAGAGGAGGGGAGAACAGCTCACCTTATGTATCAGGGACCTCACCAGCGTTATTATTGTCCTTCTAGTTATGGAGAATATGCTGGGGAACAGATATGTCATCTGATCTTTGTCCACACTTTTTTTTTTTCTTCTCTTATAAAGAGTTGAGTCCTGATTACAGCCAATGCAAATAAAAGTGTTGGTTCCCACCACCCCTGCCTCTGGAGAGCAGCATACTGGAGAGGAATGAAGGGCCATGGGAATAATAAGCATTATGTTATTATGGAGACAGAGTGAGGACAGAGGAGGAACACGAGAAAAATGCTAGGATAAGACCACACAGACGGTGCTTATGTTGGGGAGAACAAACCCAAAGAGTCTTCAGGAGACAAATAGATAGGAGAAGAGGAAGAAAGATGGAAACAGGAGTCTGAGCAAGACAGGCAAGGAATGACAGAGCCACCTTCTCCCAGTTTATCCAGAGAGTGGCAGGAGCAGACCTGGGGCTCTTCATCTGTGAAAAAAACAGTTTTCTGCACACCATTCTCCCATTTTCCTGAAATCTCTGCTTTTGCTCCTCCAGGCAACCATTAATCTAATATTAAGCCCCTTAACCTCTCTAATTGTTCCCTTTCAGTGTCAGCTGGTTTCCTATTAACCTTTCAATCTCTCAGTAATGCAGTTACTTCTGACTCCAGCCAGACCCAGCTCTAAAGCTTTACCTCCGGCAGTGAATTTTCCAAGCTTTCACTTTTTTTTTTCTCTTTCTTTCGGTAATGATTATTACTGCTGTTAAGAAGCCAGTTTGAACCAGCCTCTAAGTGCACGAGGCTGAACCAGTTGGAGTCTATAAATAGCCCTTCACTAACCTTGTACCTTATTTCATTAGGTTGATTGGCTTCCCTCTCTCCACTTCATTGCACCTCTATCTCTCTCTCCCCTCTCCATTATTGATGCTGGTTCTTTTGTTACTATCTGAGACACCTGCTTGTTGATAGCAGGGTGGATCAGACCTAGGTTTTTCCCTCCTGAACAAAATAGTGTTGTCGCTGGAGAAGCATCTCCAGAGTTTTGTGACAGAGGGAAAGCTGAGGGTGAGGCAGGTCTGAGAAAGCAAGTCAGAAAGTGTCCGTGCTGTGCAACAGGAAAATTGTGTGGCTGAGCACCAGGGGCAGAGTTTGCTACCCACAGGCTGCCGGGTTTCTCCCGTGGCACACAATGTGATTATACTTGAGTGCAGTCTCCTGTGTGATCCCCACTGCACTGTGTCAAAGCCAAGGCATGTGCCCAAGGACAAATGGTGCTGCAGTTCAAACCAAGCAGATGTACAGATCCCAGAACTGTCTGCTGTTCCTGAGACCAGTCCTTTGGCCATTTTGACATTAGTCAATTTACTACTGCTGCTTGACCCTGCAATCTGGCAGAGCATATTTGCTTCTTTGACCATCATCACATCTCAGCTCAAAAGCATTTTTATGCTGAGCCTCCTTAATTCACCTGTTTCTTCTAGTGCTAATAAAGTTCCTGAGCTATGCTCAGCCCTGGTGCTTCTCCCTAAAAATGGCTCTTTTCTGGTTTTTTTTTTTTTTTTAAAATACAATGAATGTTTGCACCAAAGACTGAATTAGGCAATTGCATACGCTGGCCTGAAATGTCTGGGGCCAGTGTAAATCACAGCTCAACTTCACAAGTCTGTGCCTGAGTGGCACTTGCAAACTGCTCGTGTGCAGCGATGCAATGGGGCAGAGCATCTGCCAATGCTGCACAGGTACTGGGGGTGCTATTGGAGTAGCTTAACAGGTTTTGTTTGGTGGATTCAGCAACAGCCATGCTTTCTACAGGTGGGGAAGCACCATCCCAATGCAGAAGAGCTGGGATCGAGGGTCCAGCCCATTTTGCTCCCTGAAGAAAGGCAAGTTCCTTCCCTGTGAAGCCTCCTTTTTCCCCAAAGAGACTTAGAGGCAACTTTTCCAATCTGTGCTTAGGCTGATGTTTGCAACCTTTTGCTTCAACTCAGAAGAAGGATTTATGTGTCTAAAAGCTCTTCTGTTTTTTCTAGCTGTATCATTTATCTAACACCAGCTGTTACCTTTCCCTGAGAGTCCTGCCTCAAAGTCAACAGCAACTTACCAAAATAATAGGAGCCATTCTCTTCTGCTCTCTGTACAGCTCTGTGTGTTCCTACTTGCTCACTTACTGCTATTCCTTGTTGTTGGAAGGGCAGATTCTGGCAGCAACAAGCCTTTGTCTTATTTTCTGGCAAACAACCTCAGTCTGCAACAAGGCAGGAAAGGAAAACAGTGAAGAAATGAGAGCTGGTAAAACTGGGGTTAGAGGAGAAGGTTAACTTCTGGCAGCTTCTTTTTTAAAGTTTGGTGGGCTAAAGGTTTTGTAAAAGCACCACATGTGTGGAAAACAAATGCCCTCCATCCCCTCCAGAGCAGCTGGCAGCTGGTATTCACACCTGTTTAATAATACAGGTTCTCCAGGATGGCTGTGTGCTCGCTTTCCATTGCCCACAACCTCCTTGTTTTCATGTTTATCCTTCTAAATTCGGGTGCCTTGCTCCAGTGTCTTTTAGGTACCCAGGTCTCAGCAGGATTAAGGAGCCTTCCTGGGGGCTGCAGCAGGGCCCCAAGGTGGTCACTAGGGCAGCACCTCCCTCCTTCCCGTATTTCAGCCCTCCCAGTGACAATTTTGGTTGCTGCGAGTTATGGAGGGAGCTTGGGAAACTTTTCATGTCAGGGCTCTGAGTGCCTCATGGTGAGCAGGGTTTCAGCTGAGTCAGACCCTGGCTGCGCTTATGGTGGCCTGGGCCTCCAAAAGCACAGCCAGGGTCTGACTCAGCTGTAAGCTGTAAAATGTTGCTGTAAAGCTGTAAAATGTTGCCCATTTTATGGTAGAAAGAGGGGGCCCAGAGGCCTCTCTGGTCCCTGAGGCCAGCAGAGCAGCAAGCTCCTAACAGAGGCCCAGCACCACCAGGGGCACAACCTGGCCCTAGAGGAGGAGCCAGGGCCTGAGTGGAGCTCAGTTCCACTCTTCCCCACATACTGTCCACATACTGTCATGGTTTGGGGGCTGCCAGAGCCCCTTTGGAGCTTCCTGGCCCGCCTGCCCTTCATGGAGGATCCCTTGCTGCCTACGGAAGGTCAGAGCCCACAGAAAGGCCACTTGCCCTGCTGGGAGCACGCAGCGGGCACTGGGCTGTCCCTGGCTGCAGGGACAGGGGAGCAGGAGGGACCTGAGCCACCAAAGCCTGGCGGGACGGGGGCTGTGTGGCTCAGAGTGACGTCTCTCTGTCCTGCCTGCTGAAGAAGCTGCCTGTCCGTGAAGGGGATGCAGAGTCCTGTGCAGCAGAACACGTGTTCAAAGGAGAAGCTGAGGGCAGGGGTAATGCCCATGGCAGAACTACCCCTGCTTTTTTGATCTGTTTTATGACAGGTGAATGGTATCAGACCCATCATTAGCTACAGTCCTGCTGCCCATTTTGTCTGGTTTCTGTGGCCAGTCCCTTCCCTTCCCTTGGGAAGCTTCCTAAATATTTATCCCAGTGATCAATCATATGACCCCACTGTAGCAATGTGAAACGGCTTTAGTTGTACTAATCAGCTTAGCTTGGGCCCCTGACCCCTGTCATCTTATTTTAGGAAAAAACTTTACACAGTGCCTGGTAAGGGCTGTTCAGTCCAGAGGATTTAAATCCAAAGTGAGAAACAGCAACACAGACTTTTGCTTTTTTGTTTTGTGACCTGAATTCAGTTTACCATTATTCTGATTTGTCATTTCTCTAGGAGGTGTTGAGCTTTGAATAATACACAAACACTGCAATTTCATGAAAAAATACATGACTCTTGACTGTTAAAAAAAAGCACTCCAAATAGTAAATGATGAGTGCTTTGGCTGAAGCACTTAAGAGATGTACAGTCATCCAAATGGACTAGGACACTGAATCCCTTTCCTCCTTTCTCCTCCCAACTTTAAATGAGGCCCTTTAAAGCAAAATGGACTCTAGAGAATAGTGTCTGGAACAGGAGACTGAAAATATGTGCCTTGAACCTCAAGGGGTTTTGTGGGGAATACATCAGAGGACAGATGGACCCAAAGATAAATATATTCTTGAAGTGTTTTTTTTTTTTTTCTCCACAGAGATGTCTCAACTCCAAAGCAGCAGCAGAAGTCAGAGGTGAATTAGCAGCCAAGAGCAGCCAAGATCCCAGCTCATCAACTGTCATACTGGTGGGACAAAGGGTGCTGAAAGCCAAGCCTCTTTCCAATGCTCCAAGAGTGAAGCACAAGCCCTACAGACATTATATGAAAATATGAACTATGTCATATCTGTAGAAACTTGTTTTATTGGAGAGATGAGTACTAACAACCTTCTGTGCATAATCTCTGAAGGAAACAGACTGGCTTTGTAAGGGAGAGACAGATGAGAACAAACTATACTTGCATAAAGGAACAACTGGAAATATGTTGTGTAAGAGGAGGGTCTGGCAGAAACTGAGCACTTTCTAAAGCCTGAGAACTCCTACCAGTGGCAACTTCTGTCATTTCTGATGGTGAACATCCCATGGGCTGCCAGGGCAGGGAATGTCTCCAGACCCGCCTGAGGGCTTTCCCAGTCCAGCTGCTGCAGCAGCCTCCTCTCCCAAGCTTCTGAAGCACCATCTGGATGCAACAAGACGATCATCAAACTCCTGTTTGCCACATCTTCAGCCCTTCCCCCACCCTATGAAGCATGTCTTTGAGTGAGTTCATCATCCTGCCTTCTCAGCAGGTGAAAATATCCTCCTTTTTAGCATCCCAGGGAAGATATGGCAATTGCTGAGGTGTAATAGCAGACTTTGAACATCCTCAAGGCTTTTGAACCTGCATTGTCCTCTTGACACCCATGACTTGAATATAGTCTGGAACTGATTAACTTGAGTGCTTCAGTCTCTGGAAGGCAATGTTCTTTCTGCAGTTAAATATTTACTTATCATTGCGCATGGACCAGGCATTACAGGAGCCTGAGCAACATTTGCATTTTCTCCCCATAAACTGAAAAAGGAGCATCCTCCATAATTTCAGTGCTGCCACTCCCATCCATCATGGTAGTCCAGTCGTGTCCTGCTCAAGCTAGCCACCTTTGTTAGCTTCAGCAACATTCCTAAACCCTGAAATTTGTAGCCCACACCATGGGGAGGCCACATTGCACATCCAAAATATTTCTTGGTTCCAAAGTACATCCTCAGAGAAAAACATGAATCCTATTTCTGAAGAAAAACATGAATCCTATTTCTGAAAATCATGTGTCGCTAGCACTTGCAAGCACTTTTGCATGCATGACACTGCTTGGGGAGAGATTGAGCTCTCCCCTACCCAGTCTTCCACTGGGAGAAGGACTTTTATGATAGAAATAATTTCTATCTTAGGCAGCACCACAGTGATGTGGTAAAAATGGGGAAATCTGAAGCATTGGTAGGGGCTTTTAGAAATACTAGAGTATTCCCATCTCCCTGCCAGTTCCTACCTGCTGTAAATGCTGGGGTGGGTACCTCTGACATGCCATGAGGATCTCTCTGCTGCTACCAGCATCAGACTGCTGCATCCTGACTATGGCAGGCCAGGGAGAATGTTTGCCAGCCCCAGGACTGGGTCTGGCCCCCAGGATGCCAGCAGGTTGGCGCTGCTGGATCTCTGCAGGGAGTGAGGAGAAGCTGGGAAGTGTTTTGGCTCTGTTCAGGGCTGAATAAACAGAGCAGCTTTTGCCTGGGAATAGCTGCAGTCCCTGACCACACTGGTGACGCAATGACGTCCCTGTTGCTCCTCCTAGCAGGGGGAGTCTCCTGTTTCCTCTGGCTCAGGCAGAGACTCCTTTTTTTTTTTTTTTTTTTTTCCCCACCCCCTTGGCACTCAACAGTTAGCTTACCATTTCAGTCACCAATGACAGCAACCAAAAAATAATACTACTGTACTCAGTTAATCCATAGGAAAATCCCACATCGGCACACAAAAGGTGGAGACAGTGCTCACGCATTTTCCCCTAAGGGCCTTAGGCAATGGAAATTTTCTCAAGCTCCATTCATTAATGGAATAGATGAACAGTTATGTAAGGTCACATGAGGGAAGTGGTTGGTCTTTGGTCAATGAAAGAGTTAGTCACACATCATTGAGCTGGATGGCCCTGGGAGGAATTGTGGAGCCACCCTTTGCATGTTCAAGGACTGAAGAGGGAGAACTTTAGCTATAATTCCTCACTATGCCCTGAGCTTGGGCACCAGCTTTACAGACCTGGCATCACAGGAGGTATGTGGTGCTGCTGAGCAAAAAAGCAGGGATTTGAGGTCTCTTGAGATCCTCCACACTTTCCTCTTCCCAGATCACTCAACCCTCCTCTGAAGGAATTAAGAAACTACCTGATTTTGTGGTGCCAATGTGCATTTGTGCATCCCCCCAGCGAGTCTGTTCTTGGCTGGGTACTCAGAGGGTAAGTAACATGATCCAATTCAGCAGTCACAGGGCAGATAAAATCTGTATGAGGGCTCTCAGGAACCACTGGAACATTACTAGGACATTCAGCTGGGGGAGAATTTTCAAGGATTTGCTCTGGAACTTGTCCATTACTGAAGTGGTTTGGACTTTTTCTCTCCCTCTTTGAACCAAGGATGATGCCATCATACAGAATTTCTATGGGGCTGACTGCAGAAGAGAAGATAGGGCACTGACTGGCATCCAGATTTCAGTACCCAGTTTACCCAGTTAAACATGGTCTGCAGTAATATTATCCCACTTCTCACTGGCTCTCATCCTTGTCCCAGGTAGCCCAGTCAAGAGTCCTTCAGTCCTCTGAATTTGAGTTACCTTGGCCTTTCGCTCTTCTTAGCTTCTGCTTTGGGGCTTGCAGCTCTGAATTTTAGATGAGGATGTCTTGCAGACAAATCAAACCAGCTTTGTTTGCTCATTTATGCTAATCCCTGGATGTTGAGTGACCAGCTTCAACCTGCTAGTGTACTTTCACCTTGCAGCCAATTCTTGAAGGTCATTTCAGACCATTGGAGAGGCAGGGTGACAAAGCTTGGCTGGCAGCCTCTACAGGCCATGGAACAGCAGTCACCTGGCACCAGCGATCAGCAGGACTCACAGCCTGATGAGTGCAGAGGGCAGAGGAGGCCTGCAAAGGAAACTTGTGTCGAGCAGGTGGGGAGAATGTGGGTGCCAGGTTGTACCTGTACCATGATCTCATGCCTGAAGGCTGGTGACAAGTTGTAACTGTGTAAACCAAAGCGCCTCCCACATTTGTTGGTCTGCCCCGAGTGCTGAGGCTGTGAAACCCTGCGAGGAGGACACCTTGACCCACCCGGGAGGGCTGTGGCGTAGATCTGGCCCTCAGGAAAAGCCCAGCTGTCTCCCTGAGCAGGTGGTTTCCAGGAAGAGCCACATTCCTGACTGTGAGGAGCTGAAAGGACCGTGTATGGGATATGCCTTAAAATAGACAGAGATAAAGGAAGAGAATTCGGGTCCCAGGCAATGTGGACTTGATGGCATCTCAGGCGTTTGGTCAGGAAGGGAAGTGCTGCTAAAACTACAGCTGCCTCAGCCTTGACTGCAAGAGTGTCTCATAACCTTAGGGTTCCTTTCACTCAAGGAAAGGATTCTGGTTGAGATTTTTGGGTTTTTCCAGCCCATTCTACTTTATTGTTTTCTGTTTTTTTAAAAGCCAAGCTGAGCTGAAACAGATTTCCCCTTTCCCAAATGTTTAAGATATTGTGGAAAGAGGTCTACCTCATATTTGGAGAAAAAGTTTAGATCTCTAACATTTAAAATAATTGATATATTTTTAGGGGAAAGGAAGCACTTTTTGCAATATTTCACTTCAGTAACCTTAAAGTGAACCTTTTTAGAGCCATCTTACTATATCTAGCCTTATGGTTTTTAACAACTAAGTATTATTGTACTGACAACTAAGTATTGTATATCTGTAGTAATTTCTTTTCTTTAAAACAAATTTAAATGTTATGATACTTAGAAAAGGGGTTCCTTCAGCAGTATCTCAAGCTGACAAGTTCTTTGAAAACATCTTTTCTCCGAAAATTATCTCGTTCTGAGGAACCAGCAGTACATTTGAGAAAAGTCTGGTGAAAAGTTTTCAGCAAATTCTCCTGAAGCATGTATCTTTTCACTGTAAAGCATTTCCTGGCCATTTGCAAACCAAGCAGAGATGGGTTGAAAGACAGAACTTCTTGATGGCAGCTGGAAAATTGGAAAAAAAACCAGTGAGATGAATTTTCACTTCCGTTCACTCTTACTGCATAGTTTGGCTTTGCTCTTTGAATTAGTTGCTGTATGTTCCCCATTGAAAAAATTCACTGCAGTATCGGTTGTTTTGGTAAAATACTCTGAGCCTGCAGAGTTCTGAGCTGTTGGGACAGCACACTTCAGGTAACACGACCCCAGAACTGCTCAGGGCACAACATCAGTGAGCAGGAGGAGAAATGGGTTTTTCCTTATTGCCCACCTGCTGCTTGGCTCTCTCACTGGCACAGCCTTGCAGCGTCTGCTGGAACGCGTGGCACCCAGAGACCATGTGAGTTAATTATTAAACAAAATGGAATCATTATGCCCTGTGCCACTGCTGTTCCTCACATAAATCTGCTGCACAGGAGAAAAACGATCCCGTGCAATGAGAACAAAGAAACCTTTTCAGGATGAGCACATTTTCCTCTGCTGGAGAGCTCTCTCCCTTCACCTCCCTGGAAGAGTGATGCATTTGGTCTCCATAAAGGTGGGGTATTTTGGAAAGACAGATGAAAGTGATACAGAGCCTCAGGGCACTGATTTCCATGAATAATCTCCCCAACTGTTAGCCTAGGTCTGCTAGGAGCCATTTCCTTTCAGAAAATACATTTCTACTAGCAACATTTCAGGAAGGAAAGGAAGGAAATATTTACGAGTTACCTTTGGCATTTCAAGGCTAGCACAATTTCCACCAAGCTTCCCTTGAACTTCTAGATAAAATATTGACTCCTGGACATGGTGCAGAGGCCCTGGCAGGCTGTCAACAAGGAACACAATTAAAGAAGACAGTCTCTGGTAAGATAACATGCAGGACTTTAAAAAGCATCTGTGAATAATTTCACTTGACTGACACACAGGAAAAAATGAAGACTTACAGGTGAGATTCCCAGGTGCCAGCCACCCAGGGAAGGGACCCCTTAGCTGAAATAGCTGATCATCTCAGCTCTGGGAGGGGATAGAAGAGAGACAGTTTGGTTTCTCTGCTGTGAAGCCTTTCTGAAGCTTTTTCTCTTACACAGAGGGGAAAGGGTTTCTCCTCTGTGGCTGCTCAGCCTGGCAGACACGGGAGGCCCATGAAGGGCATGTGCTGTGATAAAAAGGATGCATGGGCTGAGACCCCAGCAGATGGGGCTCCACCAGCTGCAGAAGTGCCCTGGCTGAGGGGTGGAAGCTGAGATTCTGGCAGAGGGTGGGTCAGGTCATAGGTCTCAGGTGTATCTTAGATATTTGGCTTGTGTCCAGCATGTCCAGGTACCATGTAGAGACAGATGCCCAAGTCTCTGCCTTTCAGCACTCAGCATAGTGGCCCTGTGGAGGCAGAGTTCTGTGGCTGGAAGTAAATAGATGGGCAACAGTGGCTGTTTCCCTGGGGATTTAATTCCTGAGGATCTGTGCTCCAAGCACTTCTGCAGGCAGCCTGCATACTTGACACTGGCGTTTTGCTGTCCCTGTCTTCGCTGGCCAGTGCCAAGTTGAATTGGTCCTTTGCTGGTCCTCTCAAAGAGGGCAAAGGTTTTGGAAGGAGTCCCTCTGCTTTGCCACATGCTGTAATAGCAGGGAAACAGAAACATAGAGGTCATGTAGCCTAGGCAAAGCCAAAAAGCAAAGGGACTGGTGCGGCTGGCCATAGCAGCCAGGACTCCTGCCTC